TTTGTGCTGTCAAGGTTCTGATTTGTGCTGTCAAGGTTCTGATTTGTGGGAGGCAGGCTCTCTCGCCAAAAACACGTTCCAGCAGTCCGTTATTATTGGACGAGCCACAGCACACGCGACCAGATTTAGAAGAGTGAAACGGCCCATAGAACAGGACCCTCCGCAACTCGTCTGTCGATCGACCGTTTTTTGAGCGGATAGACAATGCACATGCGCGCGTTGCATCCCCCCCTCTAAATACGAGACTATTGGGTGGTGACAAGGAGAATGACCCGAATTTTTGCCTCTAGTCAGGGTTTATTGGGGAAAAGGCAGATACTCAATTGGTCGAGGAGGTGGCATTTGAAGTATTTAATTAGGGAACTCACAGAGATGACACAGTACTCAACCGTAGATTCTCTACGTATCTCTACCAATTTATGCTCAAAACAGTAGAAACCTACATCACAGCAAGGATTTCAGCAAAGTATCGGTAAACCAAGATGGGTTGGAAACATAACGCGACTATTCAAATTACGGATTTTGCGCAAGTTTTTTTTCGACAGTGACAACGAACACAACACAATGAGAGGAATAACAACATCGCATCATAGATAAACCAATAGATACACAGTTCGAATTCCTTCCTTATACATACTACCGAAAATATGGGGACGTTCTGTAGCCCTGGATGCCAACTTCATCTGACGAATGGCTTGTAAATGAAAAAATCCTTGATGGAAAGTTTTGCAATACATCCATGCTTCTGCTTCACTGTTTTCTATCAATTGCACCCGATATTCGTAGCACAACTTAATTGTAGAGGCTTTTTACTCATGCGATAGTTTTTCCCAGTTAGTTCGACCAGCTGGGACGAGAAGGAGTGGCTTCTTGTCTCATGGTGTGTTTGTTGATGCTAGCTATTCAATATCGATATTGTTGACTAGTCGGACCCATGCGTGAGAAGAGCAACAGTGGAAAGACTACTGCTATTTCTGTCGAATTCGCTGTCTTTCCCTATCTATTTCTGTCGAGATCTCTACATGCAGGCTTGTAGAATGATGGTGTTGTGATTGGTGGGTACGGTTTTTACCCATAAAGGCTCCCCCCAGATCACAACTAGATTTGAAAACTGTAACTAGTTTCATTGGTTGGATATTTTGTTTTGCGATACCGCGATCACCGCAAAAGAACTCTTGAAAACCTCCTTCTTTTTTTCTTCTTCCTCTTCCTTTCCCCCTCCTTTTCTGCCCCTTCCCCCCCCTAAGCCGCACACAATCCGGGGGTGCTCGATGGCGGATCGTATTTCATCGAATGAGCAATCGTAGCCATAACATTATCACACTAGACCGAAAAGCAAAACGTTCAAAAGCCGATCCTGATGCTATAATGATTGAATCTGAAGTCAAATCGTCTAGTAGCAGCACATCAAACGAAGATACGGATATGGCTAGTAATGAACATGGAAATGAAGAAGAAAACGAATCTACAGCATATGAAATGCTGGTGAAGGACTCTATACTGCAGCGATGGTCAGAGGATGACGATGGGACTCTCAAAAAGTATCTGACAATAATTGGGAAGGCAAAGGAGTTTCCTGATGCGAAAGCGGTCAATTTTCGTCAAGAGGTGATATGTGATGCGGTCGTGGCTGCTTTTCAGGGAAACCAAGAGATGATCTCAGAAGCAAAGAGTGCGAACGAGACTGCCACAGCCCTTGCTATTACGTCGTTGAATTTTCTCAAGCATCAACAGGAACGACTGAAAATTGAAAATGAAATGCTATTGTACGGTTTTCTTCTCACCGTGTGCATGAAAGTCTTGGAGGAGTACTACAAGAGGAAAAGCGAAGCCCAGAAACAATCAGCGAACAAGAATATCGACAATCAACGTGTCAACCTATTTCATGACGACCTCCGAAAGCATGAAGATCCAAATAACGTTGTTTTCAACTTTTGCAAGCATTTGAATGGACAAATTGCTCAATGGGGAGGTACCGATACCTACTACGCAGGCTACACTGTATTATTTCAGTCTTCGGGTATGGGCAAAACTCATCTGATCTTCAGTTCGCTCAAATCCAAGATATTTGGAGTCTACTTATGCTTTCGACGATCTACAGACGGCAGGACATATCCACCTCGGTCCCCAGTTATGAACTGGTTGATTCAATCAGAGGTAGAAGATGGCAATACAACGTCGCTTTTTCAATCTTCTGCACTAGCAGCGGGAACTTTACCCAGCGCCAAGACTACTCGCCACATGCTGCGCTTTCTAGCTGTCATGCGAGCGACGCAGGAGCTTTTCGAAAGCTGGTTTGATGAGTGGAAGAAAGAAAAAGAAAATCCACCAACTCCTGAGGATTGGTTCAATCATCAAAAAGGGGGGGAAGAAACCGATTTCCTTGTCTTTCAAACAAAGTTAAAGAATCGTGCTAACGTAGTATGGGAGGAAAGGCGCTTTGAGAACCAGGCTGGATCGAAAGATGGGTTCGAAGATAATTTCATCTTTTTCATGGATGAAGGAAGGACATTGTTGGAAGAGAATATTTTCCGCGATGTTCGACGTTGCTTTTGCAAAGGCTATTTTTCAAGTAAGATGAGTGTCTTTGCGGTATTTACCGACACCTTATCAACTTTGACCAACTTTGCGCCAGCTAGACACCTAGACTCTTCTGCACGGGCAACGTCGGTAAATCAAGGATATCTGTTGCCTCCATTTTACTTTGTCAACTGCTTGGATCTATTCATTGACAGCAACAACAACAACGAATTATCAAAATATGGCCGACCGCTTTGGCATGCTTATGAAATGTTCCTCCAGAAAAATAAGAATCGATTGACAATGGCAAACCTTCTTCAATTTGCAAGATTTAAACTTCTCAGATCTGAAAAGCTCCTAGCAAAGCTCGATGGTGACCATAAAAAGGCAGCTGCGATTGCATGTTTGGCATGCCGAGCCGCACTTCGTATTCACCCTGGACGCCGCTTTGCTTCCGAGCTGGTGGGCGGTCATATGGCCGTCTGCTCACATGTGTACAACGATCGAGAAGCCATTCTCATTAATTACCCTTCTGAACCTATACTTGCTGAAGGGAGCCGTTCTGCGTTGCTTGGACCAGAAGCAGACTTTTCTGGTTGGAAGACCAGTCTGGAGCAGTTACAGCTTGCGATCCAGGAAGCAGATGTTGATACAGGAAAAATTGGTGAATTGATCCACAGAATAGTGCTCTTGCTAGCGATGGATATGGCAAAGATGGAGATGGCTGGCCGTTCCAAACACAAGGGAGTCAGTGCCTATGACTTCCTGAAAGTCCTTGTGGGAGATTCAATTGACGCAAGTGGTAATGGTGGAACACAGATTGAGAACCTAAAGACAAAATACGTTTGGTTCAATCATTTCCTCCCTTTATATTACGTCCCTGACGCCAGCGCGTTCGAGCAGATTGCAAGAAGACGCGCAGCTACGGTCTGCAAGCCTGGTCAAAATGGAATTGATCATGAGATTCCGCTGATGGATGCTACTTATTCAAATGTTGTTGGCACACTCGCAATCCAAACAAAGAATGTTGTAAGCAAACATGACTCCGACTACCCCGCATCAGCAGGCTGGAAATTGGGCCGGGAATTTGCCTTTCATGGCAGTGATCGTGATGGGTCCTCAGACTCCGCTAGTGACTTCTACTACTTTGCTCTGTACCATAATATTGGTTATCAGCGTTCCCATGGAACGGAATCGTTTGAGTGCGAGCAAATAGAACCATCCACTCATGCACACGTATGGACATGTGGGCATGGGCAGAGAGATTGCTATTCTCCGATTGGGCTGAAGATGGTTGGGTTGGATCTGCCACTGTTTCAATCAACAAATGAAAAGCTTTGCTCAAATGTAAAGCAGATGCAAAAAAGCTTGAAGCAAATGCGGGACCAAGGAAGGAGCCCCATTGCCCACTTTACAGATGAGATGAAAACAAGTATTCGACAGCTTACACCCCTGGCATATGCCAGAGTGCCAGCGCCTGATGCCTGATCGGCAAAGTGATCCATCTTCTTTCCCAGGGCAGCTTTATTTGATTGCTTCTACATGGGTGTAAACACAAGACCTGAGTTGATGATGCATTTTCAAACCTACAGTAACTTCAAGAAAACTTCTAGCCAGCAGTTGCATTGAAAGTAAAGTATGCAGTGACATATAAAATGAGTGAATCCAACGAATAAGTTTCTAATTTAGTGACACAAATTGTTGGCTTTAGTCAGCAACATATATAGAAGATAGCAACTATAATTCAGTGCTAGGCCCATTCAGATGCCCCAAAGAATAGATTGATGACAACAGCTGCAAAAGTTGGTAATTATTGATGTGTTTTTCTTGTAATCCAACGAGATGAAGCCACAGTGCTGGCTAGTCTTGTTACCCAAAACCGAGAAGACAAGATTGGCACTGAAGAAGTGAAGAAACATACTTTTCACCAACAATCTACCGCCGTGGGGGCTGAAATGAGCAAGCTGGATACTACTGGAGTCAGTGTTGCCCACAAGGGGAATAATATTGATTTGCTATCTCCTTGCTCCTTGTTGGCTTTGAAGATCGGTATGATTGCTGTCATCCGCTGTGCAGACTGAAAGAATGGAAGCATCTGAGATCCCCAGACAACAAAGCGGATGGAGGCAAACTCTTTTCAGCAGATGGAATGAGGTTGTTTTGTCCATCTTCTAGTTGGCTTGCAAATCAGCATGGGCACTGCCTGTCATGAAGCAAGCAGAGTGAAAGAAATCAGAACTGGGGAGCTTTCATGCGGATTGTGTGAAATACCCAGAATACATAGCATATGAAGGCACTTGCAACTGTAGCTGATGCAATACAAGGTTTCAGGGGTAGCAGCAGCAAATTCTCCAATGATTGATACCTACAAGCCAGCGTGCTTCCTCAGAATAGCGCTCAAAGATGAAACATGGAAGAGTAATGAGGAATGTGACATCCCCCTCCCCTAGCAAATAAACAATGACAAAAATCTACAGATCATGGCTGAATGGTAGTGCACTGCTGCTGTTGCCCATCAATAGTAAGAATGGCACTGAGCGGGTTTCCGGTTTTATCTAGGCAACAATTTTCTCCCATAACATCTCACAACTAGGTAAAATACAGTATAATACCATTCAACCACAAAATTCAATCAAATTTTAAGCCAGGGAAGAGTTCTTTAATTTCCATAGTGGTGAGGTTTTGGTGTTTGACAATTGACGTCTGCACTGCGTTCACCCAAGGGTGTGTTTAACATGGAAGTACTTTGATAGGTCCAAATTCATGTTAAAGATATCACATAATTGAAGATTACCCCGTGCCGCCTCCACTCCTGGGCTTGAATCACTTGATGTAGTTATTGTCTGGAGAAATTGCACATGTATGCTACCATGGAAACTGTGGCAAAAGCCTGATGCTACATACAAGAAGCGAGTAGGTTTGGCACAGTAGCAAGTTACTAAGTTAGTGACTGGTTTGCACTAAGGTCAAATCGAAAGATTTCAAAGAGGAGAATCAATAAGAGCTATGGTGCAAATAAGAGAGAGGGTGGCAAGGGTGGGAAAAAGCAAAAAGCTGATGGTCTTGACAGAGCAGCTACGCCCCTTCTAGTGTCTCCATCATCCCACAAGCTCCAGGTGTTTATGGTGTTTTTTGGGCAAACTTTGGTTGGTCCCCCAAATTACCCTGTCAAACTGAGACCATCACGTTCTGTCCTGGGAAATTTTTTCTGTTTGCAATGTTATTGTGCAACAATGTTATTTCTACAAATCAACTAGTGAGTCTTTCTGTTCTTCCCCATGACACACCACTTACTTTGCCATGATATTGGCAAATCACCAAAATCATTGTTCATCCTGTATGGCTTTTTTGAAAATTCCCATCATCAGCCCAGAGTAGTCTTCGGGTGGCGTGTCTTCGTTTCAATTGGATGTCAATACAAAGTCCATTACCGGATCTTTGACCGATCCAGTCTCAGAAGACATGGCATAATGCTCTTGTTGTTCATGACTGAATTGCTTGAGCTTTGATCCAGGCTTCTTTCTTTCAGCACATTAAGATGAGCAGAAATTTGATAATCAAGTGGGAAGGGGCTTTCTGCAGACAACAGCTTCTGCACAAATGCAATGATGGGTGCCTCACCAGCCAAAAATGCAATGCTGATATTGATCTTGGAAGAAAACAATGACAAAGTGACAGCTGTCAGATTTTGGATGGATGCAAATGGAGGAGGCTTGTCTGAATCCACCAACAGCCTCTTCTGCAACCTTGCCCAACCTTGGGGGACTGTAAGGTCATATGTGTGGCACATGCACACAAATAGTCCCTCAAACGCATTCCGCTTCCGTTCCACTTGCTGTAACAGTTTGTCCAGTGATGTTGACTCGTCCTCCTCTTCATCCTCGTCCAACTGATAATAGCTGGTCAAAATATCCGACACCACCTTGTTGCAGCCGGGAAACAGTGCTAAAGAATTGTACATCAATGGGTGTATGGAACCGCTTGGGGTTGATATCTGGCTGACAACAAGTAGGGAAGGTTTCTTGTTGTTTATCCACCACAAAGTAGTTGCAGTTGCATTGCATAAACATTCCCAAAATATTGATTTCGTTGAGTCCCAAATTGGATATGCTATGGAATGGTTTGGCCACATTAAACTGGAGGTTGACACTACTGTCCCAAACAGTGCGAAACTCTTGCACATCATCAGGGGTGATGACAGTGAAGCCATCACTGAAGAACATTTCAAGGGCTGCATCTATCATTCTGCTATGGTTACCGCCACACAAAAATCCATCCAGCAGAAGCAAAATGGCGTCGCTCAACAAGGTAAGTTTGATTGTTGGATGTTTACATCGTGCATCATACTGATGAAAGAAGTTGCTCATGTCATGATATGGTTTTGTTGCATTCAACCAACAATACACCATCGTTGTTGCTTGATTGCTGAAGACTTATCAAATCAACCAAACAGAAGAGAAATGGAGTATGTCAAGGTAAGTTTTACTGTTGGATGTTGCAATTGTGAATCATGAAGATGAGGACGGTGGTCATCAATACTCAACTACTTGTCGTTGCTTGATTACTACAGACTTAGTATCAAGCCATCTCTGAAGAGAATCGATCCAGAAGAAAAGAAATGGTGTCCCTAAGTAATCGGTACGTCTGTACTTTTTTTTTTCTACGTGTATAGAGTATAGGGTCTTTTACGAAAAAGAAAGGGGTAGGGATAGGTAAAATTCAAACACTTGCAGGTCATGATTCCAAACAGTCGCGGAAAACGAGTGGCCTAGGCCCCCCAATTTCTGCGACAGGTCAGATGTCACATATTGAATATC